ATAAGCAGACTTAAATACACAATGCAATGTCTTAAAAATAAATTCTTATTTCTGGAGAATTCTCTATTATTTTCCTATTTTTAAATTTCATGGCAAATTTTTCCTTATTAAAATTTAAAGTGTGTCCCCAAAGAGTTTTAGGTATTCTAAAAGTGCACCCTGAAAAAAAAAAAAAAAGGTTGAGAAACATTGTACTAGAGAGTGTGGTGTATGTGTGGCCAATGTAAGAATTTAATGTTGATTGTTGTTATTATTAATGTTGGAGATACAATCTCCCAAAGGACATGGCAATTCATAAACAACATTATTTTTATGTAGCATCCTGGGTAAGACAATAAACTACATTCGATAGCAGGTCCTTTGTTCAGGAGATTTTGAGGAGCATGAAACCATCTCTTAATTGCTGATGTTCCCAGGTCCATTCTAACCTGGAGTGGTAGCACCTGTTAGGGTCCCAGGTATAGGCAAATAGTTAACACCTAAACTGGGGTCAAAACACTATGAAAGTGTAAAAATAGGTCTTAATATCAGCAATAAATTTTTTGAGGAAAAATTACCAACAATACATTTTTGAAGGGGAAAAAAAAAAAAAAATTACCATTAATAAAAATCTTGTCAGTATTAAATAACCAATTAAGGCTGATATGCTGTAAACCAAATCATTTTTATGTAGGGTAAATTTTTGTTGGGCTGAATTATTGGTAATTTAAAATGTTTGATCTAACAATTACCAATAATTCAGCACCTCAAAAGTTCACCCAATGAAAAATTATGTTTATGAATATTATACTAACAATCAACAATGTTAAATTCTTACATTGCCACAAATGCACCACACACTCTAGTAGATTGACTTGTCACTTGATGAAATTTAGTATAACTTGTGTACATATCAGTTAACACAAAATCAATACCTTTTTGGATTCACTTTGGTCAGCACCTATTCTTGATGATGACTGTGATAGTCAAAAGTACTTGAATTTAACAAGAGGAAAAAACAATTCATAATTTAAATCCTGATGTACAACATATTCAGAAATTAGTAAGATATAATAAAAAAAAAAAAAAAAATAGACAGACCTGGTTGGTGGAATTTAGTAAAACTTGTTTGGAGATATATATGCAGCAATTTTTCATTTAAACATGTTTTATCATATAAAACAGCCAGGGAATGTATATTCAACTGTTTGGTGAGTTTCTCCTTTGATGTTGAATAAGTAATTAAAGGTTAGATAGGAGCTTGTAAAGGAACTTTCCAAAATTGTATGCTATATTCTGAGTACTTTGTCTGTTTTAACAGCAACAACTAAAATGGATAACGTATAAGTAGAAGGGAAAATAATGATATAATGAAGATATTGACTTTCCACACTACTTTATGCAAAAGGTTAGGAAAGAAATTCCCATCAGTATTAAAGTGTTAATAGTGAATTTGAGAAGTTTATTTTCTTGAAAAAAGCTTTTAATAGATTTGCTAAATTTTATCCATCAGTAACTGTTTAGTTAATGAATGCCAAATGTTTTCTGTATGGAAACAACTAATATATACACCACACACACACACACACACACACACACACACACACACACACCACGGTGGTGTTGAAAAGTTCTCGGCCTAACCAAGAAAGAATTCCAAAATAAATTCTGGTATTTAGTAATTTGTTTAGCTTTTGTGAAGTGGGTCTGGCTGACAACTTTTCAGCATTTATGTCATATTTATGGGTTAAAGTGCTCAATATATAATATAGAATGTATGTAAGTATAATTGTGGACATTGATGCCAACACCCAGTGGTGACAATCTGTTTTATGCTTAAACACAATTGCATTTAAGCATGAAATAGACTGTCACTGCTGGATGTTGACTTCAATGTCCACTTTATTTATTTATGTTATTTTTAGTGGATATGTTTGAAGTAATAAAAACAAGTCAGATTAATAAATAAAATCCATTTCTTTAAGGATTGTTTACTTTTTGGATATGAAACTGAGCAGTTATGAATTTTCAGAAATATGAACAAGTAAAATATGCTTAAAGACAAAACAGAACCTTGGTTGAATATGGCGCTCTTTGTTGCTGAGTTGGTTAAAGCATGTCAAATCATGTTTCTCCTGCAAAGGAGGATGCAGTTTCAAGTCCTGCTGGAGGGTGCATTTTCATTAATAAAATTTCTCGAATGTTCAGGCTGGTAGATGAAATAAAAATTCTTTAAAAAAAAAATTAAAAAAATAAATAGGGCATCTACTCAATAACTCAAGTGCTGATATTTGTATGTATATTTACTTAAGGTTAATTGAATATTGTTGTTTTAGATGTATAAATGGATGATGAAATGTTCTCAGCTCAACCAAGAAAACCTTAAAAAAAACATTCTGAGATTTTATCATTTGGTCAGATTTTGAGAGTAGAGTAGTCAAGCTGAGAACTTTCACCACCCCCATTCCCCCCCACAAAAGAAAATTTTACATATATATATATATATATATATATATATAAAATTCATCTGACAAGGTCCGTTTATTTTTTTTATATTTTTCCAATTTTTTAATATGATGTATATTAGGGTCAAAATTGTGGATTGGGATTCCTGTTTTTTTCTGTTTTTGTTAGTCACAATTTTGATCCCAATTTTATATAATATATATATAAGTTGAAGCCTCTGTCTGTTATCGAACTACTCCTAAGGTTTTGGAGATAGACCCCCATAATCATATATAATCTGAAACTACATTATCCAGGATACTTGGATAAGTATATTTCATTTTGATCAAAGGGGGCACTATGAATTTTTTTTTTCCCTTTGTCCAAAATATAGAAGGAAAAAATAGGAAGATGGAAGTCACATTGGACAGATGAGACAATATGGATGTCAAGTTGAGCAAGAAATCCCTAATTAGTGGGTAGTACCTTACAATACATATTTGTTGTGACAATTCAACTGTAATATCAATGTTGAAATCTGCTTATCAATTCATTCAATCAAGTACTACATCAAATACATATCAAAGGGGTCAGATCAAGCTGTTTTTGCATAAATCCCTCACTGAAAATTTTTTCCCTTTTGATTTAATTTAAATTTGATCAAGGTAATGACTCCTGTCCAATATCTATCTATCTATCTATCTATCTATGCATGCTAGTGCACCTTCTGTTATTGATTATGTAACAGCAGGTAGGCACAGATCCCAAGTTCCTGATTGTCTTACTCTGCCATTTATAGCCAAACAGAAAAATCTGTCGAACTATTGATGCAATCTATATCAGCAAAACCACTCCAAAAAATAAGGATGTTGACTAGGGTTTAACTTGGGAACTTGATATGCCAGGGAATATAAAAGTAACAGATATTAATGTCATCACAGAAATATTAATAACTATCCCAAAATATCTGAGAGAAGATTACAGGATATTAGAATATAGAACTATAAAAACAGTTATGCAAAATATGCCAAAAAATATTAAGGAAAATATTTTGTAATAAAGTTGAACTCCCAAAAATGTTTAAAGATTTAATATTTAATTTAAAGTACCTAGCAAGTGATAAAGTAACATTACATAGATGATATCTAACTGGTCTGAAATAATTCATTGAATGAGATCCAAGGGACATAAATTGAATTTTTTATAATTTTAGTTTTAAACTACTGTGCTCTTTTACTGTTAAAATTTAAAGCGTTGCTTCTTAAACTATGGGTCAAGACCCCAAATGGAGTTGCGAAGCAAACTGTTGGTGTCATGAAAATTCAAACACTTGAATTTCAGTTTGTTATTTCACAAACGCACGATATTTAACGTGATGCGCCATGTAAGTGCTGTGGTAATAAGATGTTGCAATGAGTGCAGTGACACTGGATGTATTTTCAGTGTAGTTGGTTAATACCTAGGATCTTGTGATGAAAAAATGAGGTCATGAAGGAAAAATGTTTAATAAGCACTGATTTAAAGTAACCTATACTTTGAAGAACTGTTTGAGTACAATGTGTTTTGGGAGTTAATGATCTTTGTGCTGTGCAATCATGGTTCTCCACAAGTTCCTATCCCTTGTAGCACTTAGCAATGTCTGTTCTTTTGCACAAACTCTGCCATCCATTCACACAATGTAGGCAGCCTGCTGCCTTCTCTTGTCCCTCTTGCCCTTGATATGCTCTGTTAGTGTCAAATTCTCCAAGCTCTCCTTCCTCTTTATATGTCTAAGACATTTCAGCTGTCTCTTTCTGATTCTGAGTCCTTTTTGTTTCCATTTTCCTTAAGACTTCTTCCTTGCTTATGTGCTCTGCCTATAAAATTCTCAGCATCCTTCTGTAGAACTACATTTCTGTTGCCTCCATTTTTTTCCTTATCTGTGAGGAGATTGTCTAATTACACCATTCAGATTATTGTGCATGTATAAGGTGCATCACTGTTTATCAAGATATAATTCTTCTGACAAAGAAAGTAAAGTTCAAATGCATTCTATATATTAATATATATTCCAAAATGGCTTTATCATGTTTTTTTGTATGTTGATGGTGTATCAAAGGAACATTTAAAAGTGTAAATAATATTTGATAAATATTTTTTATAGATAGAATAATGAAAAATAAGATAATCCAATCAATTTACCTACCTTGAATGTCACAATGAATTATTTCAGATTATCTCTTGGAAAAGTAATACATATTGTTGGTTTTTATTTTTGTGTAGATGTGCATAAAGAGGTGATAATTAGTTCTTGGCACAACAAAGAAGCACTTTCAAAAATGAATCTGATGTTTGATTATTCAGCCAATTTTTAGGAAGTAAGCTAGGCTGAGAATTTTTCATTACCCTCTCATATGTGTGTTGACATTGCTAAGTACAATGGATCAGAGTTGCCAACCAGTATTTGTTCCTATGATTTTTTTTTTTTTTTTTTTTTTTTTTTTATATAAATTAACCTTAGCTAAATATTCTGAAGATACTTGGTCTTCATGACACTGTAAATCTGTATTCTAACTTTATTTTTGTAAATTTTTCAGGGTGGAACATGAAGTTATGGCTCATCATTCATCAGAGTATTGGAGTAAGAAGAAAAAACGGAAAAAGAAGCTAATGACGAATTCCAAAAAGTTTTATTTCTCCTCTGCTAAGCATAATTCTCCAGGTTGTGCTCAAAGAAAGATCTCCAGAAGTTCAATAGGCGAGGATGAATCCATCTTGGCTCCTGAACCCTTTCAGAATACTGTGGCTACACCTGATGCAGAAAGTGAAGAGCAGAAAAGTCACAAAAAGAAGAAAATGAAATTAGATTGTGTAAATGACCTTAACCTTGACATAGAAGAATTACCAGCACCAAATAAGAAATTGAAAATATCAAAGCCATCAAAAACTGAGCACAGCAATAAGAAAAAGAATGTGACAAGAGAATCCAGACCAGAAATTATTGAAACTGTAAGAGACCGTGTAAAGGTTATATCATCTCAGCCTGAAGATTTGAAGGAGGAGAAAGTTAACCTCTGTGATAAAAGTGACAGTCATCTTCATTTAAAGAAAGTGAAATCTGAAATAATAAAAGTGCTGAATAAAGTATCTGTGAATTTGGACAATGTCATTCCAATGGAAACTTCAGATACACATCCTAATGGGAAGGATGTTTCTAACATAGTGAAAGAGAAAGAGAATTCTCATGAAGGAAATAAAAATCTGACCCAAACAAGTGATAGCAATGAAAAAAGCTTGAGAAAAGATTTGGAACCCAGCGTAAAATCAAGTGTATCCAGTCTGGAGAAATCTTACAATGTTCAAGAAGAATCCACCTCTCACTCTGTCCAAGAAAAAGTTGAAGTCTATACAATTGAAGAAGAGGATCTGAAAAATATATGCCAGTCACTAAATGATGGGGAAACACTGACTATCGACCAGGATAAGGTGAATGTAATAGATGTTGAAAATGCTAGCAATTCATCCTGGCTTGATTGTGTGGAGGTTGACTGCAGTTTTCCTGAAGAAACTAGGAAAACTGACACATCTGCTAAAGAGATCAGCAAGGGTAATGGGAATAACCCGAGAAGGCGTCGCAGGAGGAGAGGGCAGAGGAGCTTCGCTTGTAGCCCTTTCATTTATGCAATGAGCCAGAGTTTGGACTCTGATGCTGACAATAGAAGCCCCGTGTCCACACCTGTGGCTAGCCAACTCAAATACCCTCCATCTAGCAACAGCTCACAGAAACATTTTCACTTTACATCTGACACAGAGGAAGATGAAGAAGAAGAAGAAGAAAACATCTCACAGCCAACAAAGACAGGGGTTGATCAATCAAAGACAGAGAATAATTTTGAAAGTTCGAAAACCAGTTTATCTTCTGAGAAAATCGGTAATTAATTTTTTGAGTCATTAAGGTGAAGCTGTTTTTACTGAGGTGACTCGTATGCAATAAATCTTGGAATTTTCATTTAACTGCATTTATACAGATGTGTATGTAACATATTCAATGGTTATTTCATAAATTATTTAAGTTGTTCGCTTTTAGACACATAAATATCAATCAATCTTTCTATTAGGCCTGGTAGATAAAAAAAAATATATCACTGTATCTCTGTCAGGAAAGTTTATTGATTATTGAGGATTTAAGGCCTATAAATTTTTATAATCCATGTGAGACAGTACTGTGACAAATTGGGTTGCCCTTTAAGAGAAAATTAGTGTCATTTGATGTGACCAGAAAGAACTTTTTTTTTCTTTTTTTTTTTTTGTTTGCAGTAAGCAATTAATTAATGGTATTTTATAATTATAGATAAATAGTACTTGAAATAATATACATACATAGAGAGATAGAGATAATATATAAATTTTTATATATCAAGAACAATGTTGGGAGGAAAGATGTATGACAAAGTGGAGAAAAAGTTTTCGTGAGACACATTTCGTCCTTTGGGACTTCATCAGACTAAATTAGGTATGTTGCTGCAACTACAAATGCACTCAAATGAGGTTTGCTAGGAATTAAGAATTTTTTTTCATTTGTTTTTGGTATTTAATTGTTGTAACCTAGGGAAGGTTACTGAATAGAATAATCACATGGAGGTTGGTAACGAATGATAATACTTAAGACAAGAACAACACATATAAGATTCTCCAGTGGCATGTAGAAACAATAGTCAACTGCTAGAAGTGAGTCAAGTGAATTCCACAATGGATCTCAAACTGCAGACCAACATACAGTATTTACTACTGTATTTATGTGAATGGGGACATACTGGTTATCGTCCGTAGGTATGCTACAACAATAATCTAGTTGATTTCATTTAGATTCTTTTTGTTTCCATCACTTTTGTTATTAAATATCCCATATGTTGTCTAGCAGATCTTCTACTAGCACAGCATTGGATATCTAATAAGTGATGGAAAATGGAGGACACTGAGAATTTAAAAACAATTTTTTGGGGATATCATCTAGCCAATTTCGTTTAGATTCTTTTTTGTTTGTTTCTATCACTTCTGTTACTAAATATTATCTCACGTTATGATAATATAAGATCTGTGAAGAATGGTGAAATTTGTAAGGAGCTGGGCTCAAATTTACTGTGGATGATCTAATGATTAAAGCACTTTCTAAACATTTAATCTTAGTTAATTGTTTTCTCTTTTAACTAGAATAAGACCATTTTTCTATTTTGAAATATTTTTATCATAACAAAATAAAATCTGGAATAATCATTGGATTCTATTTGAAACCTTTCGTATTTGTATGAAGTGAAAAAATACATTGAAAATACTTTTAAGCTCCTCCAATACCCTAATTATTTCATATTCATAAAATATTTCAAAATAGAAAAGCGATCCTTCCTAACAAACCCTACAAATGAAAATATATTGTTCTACCCATCAACTCTATCATAACTATAATTGAAAAGAATTTATCTAAACAACATAAAATTTGTCACAACTACATCAAAACAATAAAAGACTTAATACAAAACAGAATAATAAGTTAAAACTTAAAGGTGGAATAATTGCCACAAGAAATATATAGTAGAGACCTCAAGGAATTTAAATAAAAAATTATATCAACACAAAATAGATCTTTTACAAAACCACACACTTAAATGTATTTGTTGCTCATCGTAACGCGACTAACCACAATTTTTATTTAAGAAATGCTACTTTAATTAAAAGGGAAAACAATTTATTAAGACAAAAAGGTTTAGAAAGTTCTTAATCACATCATCATCTGCAGTAAATTTGCATCTAAGTTTTTACAACATTTCACCTGTCTCGGCAGATCTATCATCACAATTTGGAATATTTAATGACAAAAGTGATTTGTAGTCACATCAATGTAAATTTAGTCCAGTGAAGTCCTAAAGGACAAAACACGTCACACAAAAACTTTTTCTCCTTTATCATACTTTCCTAGCCTAAAATTCTTTACATATAAAAAAAATTTATATATCATTTTCCTTATATATATATATATATATATATATAAAAAGAAAGAACAGTAAGATATATAATCCGGTGTTCTTATAGATATTTTTATTTTTACAAAATAGCGCTCAATGTAAATTTACGTGAATTGGGATTTTAGCTGTGTCTTTAAAACCCAGTAATTTTAAAAGTTACTCCAAAATTCACTTGAGGATGAAATGGAACTAATGTCTTTAATTTAATTACAAAATTAAATTCGTAGCTTTTAGCTTCCATTTTTGAAACATGGTTAGAACTGTGTAGCGAAAAAAACCATATTTTAAATAAATCAATTTATAATATATATATATATATATATATATATATATATATATACATACACACACACAAAACATTTAAGCAAACTTGGTAAATTAATTAATTTTGTTAATTTTACCCCAAAATCAAGAGTGATTAGCTCTATGCTTTTTTTCAGTACATTTTATGATCTTTAAAGCCCAGAAAACAATTTAATGTTGCATAGTGGATAATAGAGCATCTTAAGCATAATGATGTTGAAAAAAGGCCATGAAAAAATTATGGACCACTTGTGACAATTTCAACTTTTAGTTTTTTTCTTAAGTTAAAAAAGGAAATTTTTTTTTTTTTTTTTTTGCAAATAGTGATCTTTGTTATTACAGAAAATGAACGGTATACAGTGGAACACATACTTATAAAATGTATACATTTTAGTCTAGTCTGTAAAAAAAAAATATCAAGCAAACAATATGAATGAACTTTTCAACAGGATTAATCTAAATAATTAAATTTCTTAAGGAAACTGAGATGATGTATTCAAAAATTTAAGTAATGACTAAATTTACAAATAAGTAAATGAACAAAATAAAATAATCTCCAACTGAACTTCATACATGATTTTTTTTTTTTTTTTTTTTTTTTGTGGTTTTAGTTTTAGTTGGAGCACTTATTTCTTCAGTTCCAGCTTCAGGGGCACTGTCATGCTGAAAAATTTCTCCATCTTCATAGACAGGTAGAAGATTAGACTAGTAAACTAATATAGTTTTTGCTGTTTAGGTTTCTATTAACTTTTACCAATTTCTTTATACCATTGCTTTTAATGTAAACCCACACCATTACATGTCCACCACCAAATTTTATTGTCTCTGTGGTGTATCTTGTGTTGTTTCTCCCACTGGTCTTTTTACAAATTCTCTTGCATTAGAATGTAACTATTTTGCATTCATCACTAAAATTACTTTTTGACACTTTCTAGCATCCCATGTTAGATGTTCTTTTGACTACTTCAATCTTCTATTCCAATGTTTTTAGTTAATGGTGATTTTTTTTTTTTTTTTTTTTTTTTTTTTGCTGCTATACACCTATTGTTTATTTTTCTGTAATACTCTGCATACTACATTCACTCCTCACTTGACTGATTGTTAATTTTGGTTTGCACACTAAGACTCAAACAATCTTTTATCTCTCTTGTCTAACTTTTGTGGTCTTCCAGTTTTCTTTGCACTCAAAACCCTTTCATTAGTAGCAACTGACTTTTAACATTTATTTTCTGGAAATTTGAGTCATTTTTTAGTCACAACCTTCATTTTTGCTTCAGCAGAAATTTTAGCTATGTTATTAGTGTTGAAAAAGGAAAAAAAAAACAACTACAATGGTTAGCAAAACCATCTTACACTAGTTTCTACAGTGAACATGTGTCAAAATAGTGAAATTTCCTTCCATTTCAACTACTCATATCTTGTTTATTTGCAAAGCTATTTTGATAAAATTACTATGTAAACAAAGATGAATCTTTTCTTTTTCTAAAGATACAATTTTTTCTTGTGTGGTTATTAGTTTTTATTTCATGTTTGAATTGTCACTATTTCAATGACGGCAAAGTGTTTTTTTTTTCTTGTTTTGTATTTTCAAAGTGGTGTTTTTCAAATGAGTTGTGTTCTGAGTTGTTTCTGTCTACACATTAAAATAGTCCCATCTTGAAAAAAAAAAAGAAAAAAGATGCTCATCAATTTCATTAAGGTTCAAAGTTGTCTTTCACACAAAAAAAAAAAACTTTAGTAAAGGAAATATCAGATAACTACAACTCTTCAAGTATGAAATGTACACCTCCTCATAGAGCAATGTCTCATTTTTAATAATCAGTTGGTTTCATATCTCTGCACCCATACAACTCTAGGTGCATGAGAATCAAAAAGAGGGTATACCTTTCATTTTGTGCAGAACAGGCAGATCTGACACTGATGTTTATATTGCTGACCAACTAACATTGCCAATTGAACCCCATTTTAAATCAGACTTGGTCCATCGATGGATATTACAGTTTAAATTTTTTTTTCTTATATTTTCTTTAATGATTCATTTTAAAACTGTATAAAGCATATTATTTATTTATTTTTAAAATAAATTTGAGCTGAAAGCTTGGACGAAATAAAACCATATCTTGTCCAAACTGTCAGCTGGAATTGTTGTTACCAAATGAAATAATAAAATAAAAAATAAACTGGATATATTTTTAGTTCGTTAAATTTTGTTCATTCTTGTTTGCCATAAAAGACTAAAATAGAACTTTTAATGGTAATTTATAAAATATTACTACAAACTTACTAAAGAAAACTAAAATGCATTTTGAATAATTTAAATGTCAACTTTTATTTGAAAAATAACTTAAAGCTAATTTTATCTATTTCAATAAGTTTTTAACTTTTTAAAACATTTCCATAGTCACTCACTGAACTTCCATTCTTGACAACAAATGAAAATAACACCTTTAAAAATTTCTTAAAAATCCAGCATTTGTCTTTTGTTTCAAAGTATATTAATATTATAGAATAAATGACTGGATTTTGTAAAAATAATACTTATTTTTTGCTTAAAGCATAGTGAAAATAACATTTATTTATGCACAGTAACATGTGAGCTCTCATAACC